AACGCATCTTACTTATCCCGCGGCATTCGACAGCATTGTTCACACGTAGTTTCTCGTACTATACGCCTGTAACTATATAACTGCTTGTCAAGTGAGTATAAAGAATATAGCGTAAGTAATTTAAAAAAAAAAAGTTTTAAAGATGAGTTTAAAGCAATCGGATGGCTAGAATTTAACTTTACGCATATCCACAGGTAATTGATTGTTTCCTTTTTCTGAGAAGTGTAATATTTTAATTAATATTATTATAATAGTTGCCATGCTTTCGTTCTTTGTCCCAGAGACCCAAACCTAGACCATGTTGAACAGTAGCCAAAAGGCAGGAAACAGCCTAAGGTTTGGTCGGATGGCCGAAAGCAGAGCACGTTTATTTTACGTTAGCTTTATATTTTATTTTGTAACTCTTTTTCTGCATTTCTTAATCTTGTTTCCGTACCATATTACGGAAAATGGAATCTCCCCAATTCGGTTTGTTGCACGCATCAATGCAGTATTATTTGATTATCATTGTATTCACATACAACAATCAATCTATATCTCACTATTTGGTATTGGGTTATTCGTATTCGAAACCTAACGCATTTGGTATTCAAACGCCGTTACATGAAAGCCGCGTCACCATCGACATCATAAAGTTTTCTATGTGAATGAATGTTTTTTATGAGTACGTGCAGGAGAGAGTCGACGCAACAGCTTGTATTTATGTGGAGCTCCTCGTGAATCCCGATGACGGAATTATTCAAAAAGTTTTTTTTTTATTAAATTCTGAGCCCAAATGACGCCTGTATATTTACCCCGAAACAAGGTTTCGAATATTTTTAAAGAAAAGCTGCTTTTGTTTTGTTTCTCTTCTAATTTAATAATGTTTTGAATATATTGGGAACGAAGGTCCAACCATTTGTATTTGCGATTATTTGCAGAAGGTACGCAGCTCGGTAAGGAGCGATATACGAGGGATGTCTTTTAAGTTTTGCATATGGAAATAAAACAACACTGTAGGTAGTTTTAAATGACTTTATTGTTTTTCGAAGTATTCTCCACGAAGATTATTACACATCTGCATGCGCTCGAACCAGTTTTCGAAGCACTTATTCCACTCGTCTGCTGGCAGATCCAAAACGGCATTTTTGATTGCGTAAACTGCTTCTTCTGGTGACTGGAACCTTCGACCACGCAGTCTGTTTTTAATTTTCGGGAAAGTAAAGAAATCGTTAGGACTTAGGTCGGGACTATATGGAGGATGGTCCAATAATTCCACGTTTTCTTCCGTTAAATACTGCCGTGTTTTTTGGGGTGTGTGCGAGCTTGCACTGTCTTAGTGGAGGATGATTATTCTTTCGGGGTTGATTTTTCGAAGCTCGGTGATGACTTTCGGCAAACAAATGGTGGTATACCAATCCGCAGTAACAGTTTTTTGCTCATTAAGAGGAATTGTTGCTATATGACCCGCTTTTGACACAAATGTCGCGACCATCTTTTTCGAAACACTTCGAGAACGGATGACTTTTGTTGGCTTTTCTTCACCTTGGAACACCCAAACAGCCGACTGTCGTTTATTTTCTAGCTTATAACAGTAAATCCACGATTCATCACCACTAACAATGCTGTACACATTTTTTGAGTTTCCGGAATTGAAACGGTCAAGCGTTTTTCGACACCAATTAACCCTGGCTGCTTTCTGCTCTTCAGTCAACAGGTGGGGTATCCAACGAAAAACTAATTTTCTTACTCCTAATTCTTCCTGTAAATTTTTTTTAATCGAGGTATTTGAGATCTTCAAGGAGGCCTCAATCTCGCGATATGTCACATGTCTATCTTCATGATGAGTTTGCGCACAGCATCGACGTTTTCCTGGGTGACTTGACTGCCGTTTTTGGTGCACCCACCATGGGATCGTCGCTAAGACTCACCCGTCCACGTTTGAATTCTCCATACCAATGGGAAATTGTCGACTGATGTGGCGCTTCGTTGCCGAAAACAGACAGTAACTCAGCAAGGCATTCTTGTTGCGATAATTGTCTCTGAAAGTCTAGGTTAAGTTCCATTTTTATAATGTCTTGGTGACACTTAACAATTCACTGTAGTGAGAATACTGCACGTATTGTTGTGAAACTTTGAATTTAACTTTACTAAAGAGTGAGGTTAAGATTCAGTACTGGCGTTCGATCCGCGCGGCCTACTATGTTTCTATATGCAAAACTTAAAAGACATCCCTCGTAGTATAAGATCAGATGGAATAGTATCCTGGAATTGCGTATGTAGATGACGGACTTGACCTTGTTTAAGACAAGTTTTTACTCGTGCTTTATATTGACCACAATCACCACAATCTTACTAATTCTTATAATCTAATCTTAATTAATATTATTATAATAGTTGCCATGATTTCATTCTTTGTCCCAGAGACCCAAACCTAGACCATGTTGAACAGTAGCCAAAAGGCACGAAACAGCCTAAGGTTGGCTATCTTTGGTCGGATGGCCGAAAGCAGAGCACGTTTATTTTATGTTAGCTTTATATTTTATTTTGTAACTCTTTTTCTGCATTTCTTAATCTTGTTTCCGTACCATATTACGGAAAATGGAATCTCCCCAATTCGGTTTTTTGCACGCATCAATGCAGTATTATTTGATTATCATTGTATTCACATACAACAATCAATCTATATCTCACTATTTGGTATTGGGTTATTCGTATTCGAAACCTAACGCATTTGGTATTCAAACGCCGTTACATCAATCTCGCGATATGTCACATGTCTATCTTCATGATGAGTTTGCGCACAGCATCGACGTTTTCCTGGGTGACTTGACTGCCGTTTTTGGTGCACCCACCATGGGATCGTCGCTAAGACTCACCCGTCCACGTTTGAATTCTCCATACCAATGGGAAATTGTCGACTGATGTGGCGCTTCGTTGCCGAAAACAGACAGTAACTCAGCAAGGCATTCTTGTTGCGATAATTGTCTCTGAAAGTCTAGGTTAAGTTCCATTTTTATAATGTCTTGGTGACACTTAACAATTCACTGTAGTGAGAATACTGCACGTATTGTTGTGAAACTTTGAATTTAACTTTACTAAAGAGTGAGGTTAAGATTCAGTACTGGCGTTCGATCCGCGCGGCCTACTATGTTTCTATATGCAAAACTTAAAAGACATCCCTCGTAGTATAAGATCAGATGGAATAGTATCCTGGAATTGCGTATGTAGATGACGGACTTGACCTTGTTTAAGACAAGTTTTTACTCGTGCTTTATATTGACCACAATCACCACAATCTTACTAATTCTTATAATCTAATCTACAACGTTTTTAAATTGGGTAATTAACGAATAAATGGCATTAGATTTGTCTAAGTTAAGCCAAAATTTGTAGTCAGTAGGGGAGACTCGGGCAAAAAGAACCATATGGGCAAAAAGAACCAGCTCAATTTTTTTTTGTTTCAAAATTCCCGCCTCTATCTCCTATTTACTTCTGGCAGGTACCGCGTTTCTCCAGTGTTTGTTTGGATACCCATACCGGTAAGCTTATTTTTCATGTTTTTACAGCCAATTTAGAAAATGTATCAGTCCTGAATTGTTGATCATGGTTTAAATAGATGGAAATTATTTGAGTATTGTTATAAGTTAAAGCATTAAATTTTGTGGCGATAAATGAAGTTTTGCGTAGACTCTAACCTCACAAATTGTGGCGCTGTTCAAGCGTTTGACATTCATAATGAATAGGTATTTTGTGTTGCATACTGTTTAGGCAAGAAGAACCGGGCAAGAAGAACCGGTTCTATTTGCCCGGCTCCCTTTTCCCGCTATTTCATTGAACATTGATTTTTTTTCAAAATTGAATATTGTTTCAGAATAATGGTTTTCAATTATAAGCGAAAAACAGAGAGAGCCCAAGGATGGGACGAAAATATCATGAATCGCACAATAAATGCGATTAACCAAAAAGGAACATCTATTCGCGGTGCCGCTCTGCAGTTTCGAATTCCATATCCCACCTTACGAAAACATTTTTTGAAGCAGTCTCCCAAAAAACAATTAGGACGGTTTAGACCAGTTTTTTCTGTCGATATGGAACAGCAACTTGTACAACATATTCAAGAAATGGACGCCCGTTTTTATGGGGCGTTTAAGACTTATGCAGTTTAGCATTCGAGTTCGCAACTCGAAATAATGTGCCACATAATTTTCGTAATGGATCAGCTGGGGAGCAATGGTACTCAAATTTTATGAGGCGACATCCCGAATTAAGCCTTAGAACTCCAGAATCTACAAGCATTGCCCGGGCTTGTGGATTTAACAGGCCACAAGTGCAGTTATTTTTTGATAATCTAAATAACATTCGGCAAAAATATTTATTCGATGTGGACAACATATACAACGTGGACGAGACCGGTATTCAAACGTCTGCAAAGCGGCCACCAAAAGTTATCTCTTTGAAGGGAAAAAAACAAGTGGGCTCAATTTCATCGGCCAAGAGGGGGCAGCTGGTAACCGCCATATGTTGCTGTTCCGCTACTGGAAAATTTATCCCTCTGGCACTCATATTTCCCCGGAAGAAGAGAAATCCAAGATACTTAAATGGCACTCCACCTGGAACTGTAGATTTTGTAAGCGACAATGGTTGGATAACTAGTGAGATCTTCTTAGAATGGATGAAATTTTTTGTAAAATCTGTTAGACCATCTCCAGAACATAAATGTTTACTTATATTGGATAATCATATTTCACATCGATCTTTGGAGGTGTTGCGCTTGATGTTGCGGTATATGGGCCCATTGGAACATATTTTGAAAGAGAGGTTGATAAATGGCAAAAGCAACATCCTGCACAACATATTACTTTCTACGAATTAGGAGCAATATTTGGATCTGCTTATTTACAAGGCGCTACTCCTCAAAATGCAATAAGAAAGAGAATCGTTCTTCTCCTATTCCATCGTGTTCCTTCCAATCCACTTACGAAAATTCAAATTATTTTATACCATTAACTGCAATTCAGCCTTTGAGAATAGTTAAACAGGATGATTCTAAAAGAAAACGTAGAACACAGAAGTCAGAAATTTTAACATCTACACCTATTAGAGAACAGTTGAGAAATCAGAAAAATAAAAAATTATCCAAGACCAAATTGCCAGATGAAATGAAACGTGCAAAGAAACCTAGCAGTTCAAATTTGGATCGACCTAAATTGCAGTACCCGAAGCCACCGGTACATAAAACGGACCCCAATGAAGAAAATGTACCATGCCTCGTCTGTGGAGATACTTTTGGCAACTCTAGACCTGGCGAAACATGGATTGAGTGCAATATGTGTCAAAACTGGGCTCATCAATTATGTGCTGATTACAACAGAGGTGTCTATATTTGCGACAAATGCAAGTTATCAGTTTTGAGTTCCTTGAAATAAAGAATTGTTAATAGAATTCTACTTTTAGTTATGTTTGAAGTAATGTTCTTTTTGCCCATATGTATTTCATATGCTGATTCCTTTTGCCCAAGGCATTGGTTCTTCTTGCCCTCATATGTGGGCAAAAGGAATCAAAAGCAACTTTTGTTTTAATGTTTTTTTAAGATATATTACAATAATTATATATTCGTAACATAATTATATTATGTTTCTAAATGTAATAGAGTTTTATTGCCCATAAGAATAATAATAATTAGAATTTAGTAAACGATTTAAAAAGTTGACAACTTAAAGTGGTTCCTTCTGCCCGAGTCTCCCCTACGCATGACAACAGCGCGTCGGTCATCATCACACTTATCGAACCAGCAATCGCTCGCAAACGGTAACAGTGGTTAGTATGTTGTTTTGTTTTTGTCCGCGTACGTCGTCGTCTTGATCTACAGAATTCAAATCTTGCAGCTCAAATTTATCGCGACAGATTTCGCCAACGGGTACGCCTAGATAGAAGGACATTTGTGCAAGTGTACCAAAGAGTTCGAGATACCGGAAGTGTTCAGCCCACTAATATTCGCACTCTTGAAAGACAGGTTACTGTAGAGCAGGAGGAACGAATTTTAAATATCGTGGAAATCAATGCACATATCAGCACTCGGGAATTAGGCCGTCGTGTAGCACTATCGCATTCCATAGTCCATAGAATCCTACGGGAAAATTTGCTTTATCCCTACCATGTACAACGAGTGCAGGCCTTTTTACCAGAAGACTATCCTCGCAGACTAACATTCTGTCAGTGGTTCTTGCACAAAAGCATTGGAAATCCGTATTTTTTTAAAAACATTCTAGCGACGGACGAATGTACTTTTACGCGAGACGGGATATTAAAGTTCCATAATACTCGCACGTGGGCCCAAGAAAATCCTCATACCATTCGTGAAGGTCGTAACGAAGCTTGTGTGGAAAGTGGAGGACGACAATTCGAACACCTTCTTTAAATACAAAAAAGTGCAGTGTGGGTTTTAAAAAGAAAAACAAAGTATGTATCAAAATTGTGTTCCCTATTTATAAGTGGATTTTTTTAATACGTACATTATCAAATAATGAAATAACACCTAAGAGCCAAAAATAACAAACTCAGTATTTATTTACACTGCGTTCCGTCGTAATTTGCATTGCGGCGTTGTCAGATTTTATTTTACTTTAAAGCCGCTTTTCTCTAAAAAAATACCGTTTTGACCCCCATGTTATATGAAACTGTTTTATTCTTTTAAACCCCTCTATCACCCATTTAAATAATGACTATCATAACATTTACACCCTGTATACTTGGAAGGCAAAGGTATGCAGGAAAGCTCTGTGCTTGGAACCCGCACAACAATTTTCCAGGCAGAGTTACTTTCCATCTTAACTGTGGCATACCCAGAGGAAATTCAGCAGCTCTGAAGACGGTAGTATCCCCGAAGACAAGGTCATCCTTAGTTCAGGAATGCAACACTGCCTTTCAGAGTTTAGACAAATTTAAGGAAGTGGCCCTGACCCAGAAGCACTTGCATCAGTTCCGAGCCTATGCTGAACATAAATAGGAGACAAATCAACACGGCTCTTGAATGAATCGGTGTATAGGGAGATAGACGACAGACGAAGAAGTTCGTAGCGGGCCCCGACAAACGTCGGACGCGCTGGCTGCTGGACAGAGGAAGAAAGTCCCTCAACCTTTTAGTGGAAATTCTCACCGACCGCTGCAGGCTGAACAGACACTTATTCCTTTTAAAGGTGGAAAGAGAAGCAACATGCCCCAAGTGCTGGGAGAAGGATGAAACAGCGTTCCACTGTCTGTGCCAGTGCCCAGAATATTGCGGTATACTGGTTGAGATAGGAGGCCACGGAATTTGTAGGTGTACCCTCATTAGGAGGTCAGGAAGGTTCGACAGTTTATTAAGGGTGGATATCACCAAGACTGTCAAATCAACAAGCTGTTATTTTCGACCAATAGGGTGCCAGAAAAGAATAGTCCGTTAAATATAGCGAATGGGCTTTAAAATCCATTAGGCAAATTTTAGCAACCAATAGTGAAAACAAAATATTGTTACAGTATGAGATGACAGCTAGTCATTGAAACATCACCAGCTTATTGAATATTAAGAAATTACATATAATTCAGTCAACACTTAAAAAATGTATGATTTTTGAATGAAGTTCATGTTTTTTACTATTGTTGACTATTTATTCATGTTTATATTATTTTCTGTAATTGATATGCGATTTTACTGATTTAACATCACCTACCGTATGTTTCTTCCTTTAAACCTCTTGCAGATAGCCATTAAATATCTACTTGATGACAAAGACTTTACCTTTCATAGATATCGCTCGTTTCCAAACATTCGTTCATTTACTTGCCGTACATCAGTACCATTATGGCTCGCTTCCACTTACATCTGACAGTAATAAACTGTCGCTATCGCTTTCCTCGTTGAAATTGACTATAACTGGCTCTATGATGGTGTCGATGTGGTGGTCAAGCTGCCACATTTTTGTTTCTTCCTTCACAACATGACAGATAGCATTCTGCCAAGCTTCGGGCGTTACTAGCTGTATGGAAGTCTCAAGTAAAACCTTAACGTCTGGTAATTTGAAGGTTGTGTTATGGCGCGCAATATAATCGTTCACTTGAGCCCAGATGAGCTCTATTGGGTTCAGTTCACAGTGGTAGGGCGGTAACCGCAGCACAGTGACATCACATTGACGGGCCATCTCATCAGTCACGTAACTAATGTTCGCAGGTTTGTGCTGTTTAATTTTTTCATACAATTCCGCTTTCACACATGAATCGTCAAACGGGATTCCTTTTTCGCGCAACCATTGCTGCATGTCACTTTTTCGAGATCCCATAGTCGGTACACGTTCGGCTCGACGACTATGGTAGGAAGCATTATCCATGACGATCACAGAGTTGGGCTCAACTCGCTGAAGCACCCCTTGAAACCAGCTCTCGAAGCAGCTGGCATTCATTTCGTCATGGTAATCACCTCCTTTCTTAGAGACGAAAATCAAGTCACACTCTTCTAAAAAGCCACTATCGCTACCAATATGAGTTACGATCAATCTTTGACCTTTCCCTGACGGTCCACGAAGACCTGTTGACAAACCTTCAATGCTTGCTTGTCGGTTACTCACTACGTTTTTGTCTATCCAGGTTTTTTTAACTGTGTCACCTGCATTTACCCATGTCTCGTCCAAATAATAGATTTTTCTGCTTTGTCGCCTATATTCAATCATTTCGCGTAGGTATTTTCGACGCCAGGCGACTATTTCAGGTCTCTCTATCAATACTGACTTCCGACTACGCGTTTCGTAACGAAAATTAATTTCGTGCAGGGATTTCCTCATTACCTCGACGCTCATTTGGGGTATGATTTCATTTTCCTTGAGGGTTGGTATCTCATTCCTAAAGAAGAATGAATGTACGGTTCGCCTTAACGCCATTTTGCTATCGTCATCCAATTTAACGGCCTTTCGTCCCTTCAAATTAAACTTTGGATCAGTAGTAGCTCCAGTTTTCTTCTTTTCATGCACCACCCTGCGAATGGTCCACTCTGGAACGTCTGTCATACTTTCACAACGCGCGAGTGCATCTCCCTGCGACATAGTTCTGTTCAGATAATTGAACACGTTGAGCATGATTTCTTTCGCGTCCCTCTTCAGTGCTTTAGGAAGCCATCTACTTGTTCCCTGGCTTTCAGTACTTCCACTCGTGCCATTTGTACTCTCCATGGTTAAGTATAACCAAAACAGTAACCACAGAAACCACAACAATAACAATCACACAACAATTCTTATAAAAACACACAATATGCGATCGCTCAACGAAACACGTTCCAATGCGTTGCCGACGCCTATGAGTCTGCCGGTCGAGGCGCGTCTTTGATTTCATTGGTTCTACCGGCGGAGAAACATCAGCCATTATTTCCATCTCTGTCTATGCTGTTGACCACCGCAAAGCTACAGAAACGACATATGTCGTACGCTATACGGCTGTACTGGAAGGAAGCCGGGATCGAGCTCTGATCACGTGATGATCACGCGTATGAGTCATTACAGTTTTAAATAGTTGTAGTATAACACTGACAGTCGTACAAAACCATTCATAATTTTTGATAACCCCATAAAGTTAAATATGTTTCGCTGTTTAGGCATTAAACAAACATCTACAGTCTGACCATACTAGATTGAGATATAAGAATTGCATGCACGGTAGACACAGCGGGTTGAGTAGTGGGGACAACATGTCATAGCTGCAGCGATCGATGACACATCGAGGGTACAGCTCGAGTAAAAATTTTAGGCGCGTGCATTGTCTGTTTTTGTACTCTGAGATTCGTCATGGATACCAAAGTTAAAACTTTCAGACCAGTGGTGTCAAAATAACGTTGAGGAACTGGAAAGAAGTGTATCAATGTGTTGATAAGCAACACCTATCAAAAATTTGAGTACAAGGGCTTTTTCATGTAAAGGTTTGGAAGTGCAAGTTTGCAAATGTAGGATAAACTATAAACACACGGTAGGTGATGTTAAGTTAGTATAATCACATACGGATTACAAAAGCTGCAATAAATTTAGAGAAACTTTCAGCTAAACTGAAAAAAATGGATTTTACTCAGACATCAAGCATTTTTTTAATTTTGACTCAATTTTATATAATCTCATAATATTTAATAAACTGATAACATTTCAATGACAAGCTATCACTCCATATTTTACAGTGTTTTGGTTTGAATACTTTGATGCTTTTGAGAGATCTTGAGGCTGATTGGGTATATTTGACAGTCTGTTTGGTACTCGTACCGTATTGGTGGAAAATAATGGTTTGTTAGATTGTAAAGTCGGCCCTGAATCTATGAGCCGACGCTAAAAACTTAGCTACACTAAACTTAGCTATATCTGGTAGAT